CATTGCAACTCAAAAAACCATAGTATAACTAATAAAAAGACAGTAATTTTAAACAAAGAACCAAACATAAAAAACGAAAAAGCAATGAGTCCATCTTAATTGAACAAAACAACCCTATTCTAAACCAACACCCTGGGATGCCAAGATATCTTTTCTAAGTCGTGCAACAGTATCCAGTCATGTGACCTCTTTGTTCCGTACTGTATATATTAAAGATCACGAGAGGTTTATTAGGACTCGCTCCACTTCTGTGTCTACCAGGAACTCCACCCCTTGCCCTTGTACTCTAATTACCATGTACAAAGTTCTACCCAGCACTGAAAGAGATAAGCTAATTACTAACCTCTTTGGTGAAAGCAATTTGCTGTGTTCCCTCAAGCTAGTGGTCAAGTCCTGCTTAGGCTCCATCAGTTTTACAGAGCATTTGCTACAGTGTCCACCACTTGTTGTTCGTTATACTATTGTACAAATTATGTGCGGTTATTGTTTTTTTATTAAGAGAAAAGTGGATATTATTTTTCTTAGAATTGTTCTCTTCTTCTTATCGGCAAAATGTGAATGCAAATACATGATAATACATATGTAATTATAGAAAATATTCTTCACAGTGTGTTATAATATTTTCCTAAGACAAGTAAAATTAAAAAGACAGTACGTTATCTTTAAAATTAATTGTATGAGAGAAAATAGTCATAAATATATTTAACAAAAGCGACCACTAATTACTGTATGAAATATAATCAAAGTTCTATGGGCGGGAGTTAACATTATGGTAGAGCTTTGGATTTCAGAGCTTGCGAGACGGGTTTGGATCCATGCAATATCACAAATATTTCCTGCACTTTATGTTGTAGGTGCGTTATAGAAGTGACAGTCAATCCCATATTGGATAGTAGTGTGTTAGAGTGCTGCTGAATGGTTGCCTTCCCTCTGGTCAATAACCAAAATTAGGGACAGTGGAAGATAGCCTTTATAGTTTATCATAATTACAAAAATATCAGTTGTTTCGCACTATTCCTTATAATTAATAAATTATAGGGTTTGCTTAATTAGTTACTGTTTAAGCATTCTTTGATTTATCTTTGAGTTAAAAGTGTTTAATGTTACATTATTATTTATTTTATTACCGTAACACAGTGTTTTCCAAGCTTTAAGTAGCGGCGCCCCCTAACCCAGCAAAGTTTCCATTGTACACACACACCCTTCATATTAAAATAATTTTCGCAAGTGGTAACAGCAAAATCAACAATTTTTTTTACCTGTTTGTAATAGTTTTTTTATGTAGAAAAAATGCTTGTAAGGAATGAATAAATGCGAGAGCAAATAGAAGCTTTGAGAACAAAGTGATAGTTTTGTTAGGTAATCGTCTGCAACTCTTCTGTTTCTTCCGTCGTTATTTTGGGGTTCTCCTGCCAAAAGGCCGCCCCAGCCACCAGAATGTCCCAGGGTGCGCGTCCTTCAGTCTGGAAAACACTGCCGTAACATCTTTCAATACGTCCAGCTCTTGTAACGTGAGACAGTCGAGTCTATTTATGAAGAAACAAAACAAGAAATGCAAGATAGTTTTTGTAGACATAAAATTACATAGACGTTATAATTTAGTGCACGCAGAAATATGATTGATTTTAAACTTTTGTATTCTTATTTATATAATCAAATACCTGAACTACGAAAGAAGTAGGGGGGGGGGGTTGCTATATAGTCTGTAGTCTGTGCATTCTCATATATCAGAGGTCGCTGTAGTCGTCAATGTACTGTTGGTATTGACGTGAATTTGCTAAAAACGGTAAGGTTTAATTTATTTTTTTATTACCATGCAAGTTTTAATATCTGCAAGTGTGTTTGAGAAGAAATGAATACATTTTCCTGCTTTCATAAGAAACACGACAACTTCTGAGTTAACTTCTAGTAGTATTTGTAACAGCTGTAGTATAAGTTGAACTATAGTATACTGTATAGTATAACTTATAAGTGTAAGTTATAACTATAACTAAGTTAGTTAAAGTTATAACTTGAAATTTGAATTTGTAACTCAGCTGATATTTTCAAGTTGTTTCACGGTATAGGCTTAACTTTCAAGAACTAAGACTAAGTTTTAAGACTAGGATAATTGTAATTTCATGTAATTATACTAAATAGTAGTACTAGTAATTACTAGTGTTATTGTAAAGGATTGTCTGACGTAGGGAGCTATATAGATTATAAGTAATACATCTACAATGAAAGATTTTACTGTAATAGTTTAAACTAAAATTTGATGTTAGTAAACTTAAAAGCAGTAGTACTGCAACTCAGTGCCACTACTACTACTACTAGCACTTTTTGTTGTGTAATTCATGATTTAACAATTGAGCATTTTTTAAACGATAATATTATAATCATGGTATTGTAAATGTGAGCATGGGGCTGAAACGTTATTTTCACGTGACTTGTTATTCAGTTATTATAATAACCTAAAATTAACAGTACATGAGGAAACAAGTAACAAAGTGTCAACACATTGTTAGAGGTTGTGAGTGTGAACAGTTCTCAACAGAGTTTGTTGTATTGTAGGAACCTTTCACAATCATCACAGCATGAATAAGTTTCTTGACTTCTGTTGTTTATAAGGATCAATTTTGATGGTGCCTTTTTACCAAATTGACAATGTTGCTGTTTCAGAAATCATTTAATGTTATTTCCTTGTATTTGTGATAACTTTGCTGTAATTAGTAGGGCTGGTCATACTTACTTACGTTGGTATAGGATGGTTGTTTCACGGCAAAATCTGTTTGTGAGTTTTACATAAGCCAGATAATGATGAATGTTTGTATGTAAGTCAATGGCAAAGCTTGCATCATGAAATAGCCCCTTTACCATGTTTTTCTAGTGGCATAAAAATTGTTACAGCATTATTTAGATTATGGGACAACAAAGAGTATTATGCCCCATCTGTTATTTTTATAGCTTTGCAGAGGAATCTAGGTGGGTGAAGTTGAAGAAGTAAAAAATCAGGACATGGCTATTATAATAAAGTCTCAAAAGCTTGCTGTATAATGCATGTGAGAAAGTAATACTAATAAGGCAAACAGATATTAGGTAATACACATTGAAGTATTGAAAGTTTGGTCTTGGAAGTCTGTGGATCAAAAAGGATCATGCTGTTTGCATAAAGAACATTACATGATACCTTTCGTCATCGTATCCTATGTTTGAATAATCATCCTTCCATTTGATAACAAAACTTTCTTCTCATATTGATTTATACTGCAGCAACAAAGAAGTTTGTCTGGTCTCATGAGGAGCTGTTTTGACATAAAACAAATTTATCTAGATTTGCATTTTCAACAAAAACCTTCCTTAATATCCATACTCAAAGAATTATGGGATGAGCAGTTACAGAGGACAGCTGGTGGCTTATCAAGTTGTGTGAATTTGATGTATCTGGATTTTCAGAAAACATTTGACAAGGTGCTGCATAAAAGACTTATTAAAATAATTATCTCCCTAAGTGTGGGGATAGGTTGGATCATTGTATAGAAAACTGTCTGGATTAAGAAACATAGAGGTTGTTATAAATAAAGTTCAGTCAAACTGGATTAATATTTTCATTTTAAATTTCCTTATTGATGCTAAGTATTATTTTATTACAAGTTACAGATTTTGCAGTATGGTAAAAGCTGTAACTTATAATAAAACAAAACTGGATTAACGTCACAAGTGTGATACTTCAGGGTCAATGTTAGAACGTTTGTTCTTTTTTTTGATTTACATAGGAATGGTTAATAAATTATTCAAATTTTCTGATGATATTAAGGTTTTGAGTGTTTCCGGCTGTGAGGAGAACGTTGCTGCTTTACAAAAGGATTTGGATTATTTAGTGAACTGTACAAATAAATGGCAGCTGTTACTTGTAACAGGTAATGCATCTGGGATATCGCAGTTTGAATTATGAGTATCATTTTTGATGGGAATAACCTTAACTGTTTTGTGGAAGAAAAGGATTTGGGGTTCTGTTGATCAGTCTCTTAAGCCATCCAAGCAACGTGCTGTTGTTAGTGGCAGGGTAAATAGGATTTCGGGTTTTATCTACAGAAATATTGAATACAAGTCTAAAGAGGTTATAAGTCATAGTTAGGCCACATTTGAGTATTGTGTTGTCTTTGGTGCCTTACTGTAGGAAGGACATTGGATTTTTGGAAAGAGCTTAGATGAGGTTTTCTAGGATGATACCTTGAGTAGAAAAGTTGTCACATAAGGACAGGCTAAAATCTCTGAAATTTTTTCTTGAAAAAAAAGATTGAGGGGGGATACCCTAAAAACTATCCCAAAGCCTATCCACCCCATCTGTTCCTCTGAGCATATCTTTTTAATGTTTCATTTAAGCCTTGGTTTCTGCAAAGTAATTCATCCCTTCATCTAGCTCAAAGGAGCTATTTATACCTTTAAGTTTCTTTTAACTTACAGTTTCCAACATTATTCATTCCTACATACACCACGTAAAATATTAACGACTAAACTGCCAATACACACACTTGGCAAAAAAAAATCCTAGTCCTTCTCTGCTCCTCTACACTACAAATAACTATCAGAATGAGTGTCTCCCACTATGTACACCTCCTTCCTCATTGTAATCAGCCAAAGGTTCTAATCCATTACAGACTGATACATGAATGCTGACTGAAACTACTGTGCCACCTGGTAAACCCAGCACTCATTCTTACTTTCCCTCAATGCACATTTTGCCTACTTTATCCGTTTCCTCTCTTGCTTCCTTCATTTCTGCTAAACTCCCCCCCCCCCCCCCCAATATGTAATTTTAATTTATTCTCAAGTTAGCAAGCTATGCATGTGCACTGTACTGTATCTTTGAACATCAAACATGCTATGCTCCTCTCCAGTGGAAATGTGTCAAAACCTGGAATCATCTGGTAGTTCTTTTGTGAATCCTCAAAAAAACCTATCTCCTTTTATAACAGACACTGACAACTGTCCTGTCTCGGACTTTTTTGTTTGTTTTGCTGACATGAGGCACCAACTGAATAGTTTTTTTCTAAACTGTCAGCCGTCAAGGCCTTAATTGTTTATCAGCAGTGACAGAACAATTAACAATTAAATGTTGGCAGATGATAATGATACATTCTTTCTTGGGGATCATGATGGCTTTTGGCGGCCTTGCCGCCCACTAAGTCAGTCTTCTTTCCCACTTAAACTACTCTTATATGTAATTTTCATAATCCTAAGTTAGATAAAAACTTGTAACATTTGGTGGAGATAACTATTTTAGCTATCTAGTCAACATGCAGGTATCTATTACAATAACAACTCTAATGTTGTATGCCTTTTACAACCTGGTGAAAATCATTACAGTTTGTTATTAGTATTGGGTCTTACATTTTTAATCTACTCCCTTTTACAATTCAGTATATGTTAGAATACACTCGTATTATAAAATAATAAAATTAAAAACCCTTTAAACAGAATTGATATGAACACACACACAAAAGACACTATTAAACAACTTTAACAAAGAATACATTGTACAAAAATAAGCCATTTAACAAATATTACTTACCTGTTTAAAAGGTAAGTAATCTAACACTAGACATGAAATTAATATAGAAAAATATACATTTAAACAACTTTATGAAAGAAACAAGATAATGAAATACTTAATTTTGATTTTACAGTTAAAAATGTCTTTTCAAAGATTACTATTTAAAATAAAAATCCGAATTGCACAAAAGTACTAAAACCCTTAAACAGCAATATAGTTCCAATGTAAACTTTACAAAATCAAACAAACGAGTGAATCACTTAAATACATAACAGAAGTTACACAGTAGTAATTGGCAAAATTAATGAAAAGCTACAAGGAGTACTTTAAATAACACACACACACACACACATACATACATACATACATACATACATATATATATATATAGTACCATAAAAGCCCAAGTGACAGGAGACTACTGGAAACCAAAACTATAATAAATAAAAGAAATATACAATTTTGTTTCCCAGGAACATGCTACATATTGCTCCTGAATCTACTACATATAACTGAGCAAACATGCTACATATTGTTGCCTTTGGATAAAAGATTAAAACATACGATGACCATTTGATTGCACCTGTTCTTCTACTGGGGAAAAGTCGTCCTCTTCCCTAAAGATAATTGGTATCTTCAGTCTGTTTTAACAAAGGTTTTTTCGTAATAATTCCCAAGCATAGATTTGGAATAATTTTTTACTTATTTTTCACAGGCATTGATAGGGTGCGAATGCACAATTTCAACCTGTACTTTTGAACATTAGCCTTCATTAATGTTTCTGGTATTATTCCTTGGGAACCTTATTTTAGTTACAAGTTTGGTGCAACTTACAGTTTTTTCACCATGCCTGTATTACTTTCTGCCTCCTCCTAGTATATATGCAGCCTGCATTTTTATGCACTATTAATGCATCTGATACTAAAACAATGTTAAGAAATTATTCAGTAAAACTGTGTGCCTATTAAAAAATATTTCAAAATATTACTATCGAATAAAACACTGGGTACACCAACTTTACATTTGTTTACATTATCTAAACCTCTTTGAATTTCATTGACTACTGTTAATTTCATCCATTTGTGTTTTGTCCAAGATGTAGCTTGAGTTTCATTGCTACTCTTACGTCTTCCATGAAAATTCACTACATGTTGGTTATTTCATTGTAAAAATTAGAACATTCTCTTTCTAGTATTAATGAGAATAACAGATGCACTGTATCTTCAATTAACACCTTCCAGGCCATTTATCAGAGTTAAATTCTTATCACAAAATCTTGACATCTTTGGTATAACCTTGTGTCTCCACATGTTGCTTACCATTGTGTTTATTTGTATAATGAAACTCAACATGTTTTCTTGGCATCGTCTTCTCTTGTTAACTTCTGAAGTTAATTTTTCAGAAGTCATGGTCCTGCAACGTGCTGCCATCCAAAAACCATCATTCATTTTTATTTAAGAAATCATAAAATAAATAATTATTGGAAGAATACAGCGAAGTTAAGACCTTTTCAATTAAAATTATCTTGAGTCAGGATTAATACTCATGCTGTTACTATTGTAAATCAATGGGGAAGAATCTAGAGAATACTAGGTGGCATGCTTCTTAGAGTTATAGCCACATAACTAAATTAAGTGATGAGTTATAATGACATTATGAACCTGCACTTTGACGAAATTCCAATCTCCAGGAGAAGATGTCTAGACTCAACACTAGATTTGGGCAAATAGTGGAATTTGCTAATTAATTTATAATCAGGGCCATTAATCAATTCAACTAGTCATTTATTCTCACATAAGATTACTTTTTGTATATATGTGTTTGTTTGTGTGTTTATACATAAACACCAGTTATTCTCACATAACTAAAAATAGTAAAATGGCAAACATTTTGTAAAAAAAACCTTTCTTTTTTTAAATATTTGAACATTTACTATTTAGTGACTAATGTCCAGACAAGTGCTTGTTTGCCATTTTTTTTTATACAAGTTGTAATCTTCCATTGTTCTGTGTAAACCAATTAAATTGATAATTAGATAATGAAAACATGTTTTACTGTCACTGTTAATAATGTTAGTATTTAAAACTTATCAATTAAAAATCATTAAGTAGTCAGTTATCCCATTTATTTATACACAGTTTGAATACCATAAATTAAAATAGCATTCAATAAATGAGGAGTTTGATTCATTAGAATATTTTAGTCACAAAGAAAGCCCATTAAACCAAACTAGAGCTTACCCAATTTCTTCTAAGAAAATTCCTGTAGCTTTGAAACATGTTTGGTTTAGCACAAAACTTTCTCTCTGATTACAAACTTAATAAACATTAAATAATATGGAAGTCATAACTTCTTAACAAAAGGTTATATTCTGATATGGTACATTACCTTCTTGTTCAGTTCTGCCCTCTATATGCCTTGATTCAAGTGCATCTCGCATGCAACAGACCTCCACCAGTAAGAGTGCCACATACTCTCTTGACGCATATGACTCCCTCTGTTCAAGTCTACTGAACTATCACTTCTTGTTTGGCAGTACTTGTTGTAACATTTAGTTTGAACTCTCTTCAAGTGTTTTTTTTTCCTAGCTTTGTACTAATTGCTCTCAGCAAGTTTACTTTTATTACACAATAGTGATATTTGTAACTTGTTATTCTAAAGTGGAATTATTTTATATTTCTACCCAGTTATGGAACTTATTACTTCATTACCAAAATGTTTTATTTGTTTCTGCTAACACAGATGTTTTGGGTTATTCATTTTGCATCATGAATTCTATGTTACCACTTCAGAGGTTATATGTTCTATTAGCACATTTACACAGGCTTCATGTCGTGGTTCCAACTTTGGTAAGACAAGACATTATATTTTGTTTTTTAATAATTTTATTTTTAATATTATTATCTGTAATTATTTGAGTTCTATAACATAAGTTTCATTAGAATAGTCAATACTCCTGGTCCAGTTCAGGTTAGAAACTAGGCTTAGTTGTTTTCTTTTTTTCTATACCACTGATACTACGGGTCTTTGTTATATTAGGATTACCTGGCATTCATCTTACTGGTACATCAATTATTCGTTTAACTATATTGCTTTTCTTCCATACATCACGTCTAATACGTAGGTTATTGTTAGTACATACTTATCTCATTTTATAAATTACCGTTTATTTCATATTCGTTATTATTATACTTATTGTTAGGTTAAGATTTTTATCTTAGAGCTTAGTGATATCCTTTGTCCTGCACTGTTTGATTAGGCTTAACATTTGTAGATTAATCACTAATTCAGTTGAATATCTTGTTAGCTTAGGCTTAACAAGTGTCTGTTAATTTTGGTTTACCTATGGTTATACTCCCACTCCCAGATTATTCATTAGTTGGGGTTAACTATTTTGTTGTTTTTTAACACATAACATGTATTACATATATTTCTTTCACTACTAAATTTCTTACCATTAATTTTGTTTATCTGGGCCCCTGGGGGATGAGGTCCACCCTACCTGCTCCCAATGTTACTCACCTTCTTCCTATAACTGCAGAACCCATTTCAGATGACTCAGATTTTGTCAGTTTTCCTCCAACTTATTGTGGATTGTGTTCTGGGCCTCACTTACAGAATCTGCTAGGCCTATCTTAGTTGTTTTTTGTTCTTTAGACACGTTTCACAGTATATTCCCCTTCTCTTGATATTACTTCATTGAGGTTTGTCGCATGATGATGATTTGTATGCGAGAAGCATTGGAATCAGTCAATTCCAGATGGGTGGAAGCGGCAAGGCTTGTGGTATGTGAAAATATTTTTTTGCATATAGAGGGCAGCACTGAATGAGAATAGCTATTTATGTGAAAGGAGGTAAGTACCTATCGGAAATACATTTTCAGTATAGTAAAATTATAAATTTTGTTACAAAGTATTTATAACTTCTTTGTCACAGAGTTCCAAAACCTTTTAACTGTTATTCAACTATTTGACATACATACCTCAGTATATTATGTACTCTGTTCTTAGGATAAACGTCAGACTTTGCATGGGTTGCTGGTAAAAAAATTTCTGTAAATTTCTGAAGAGTAACAAAAGGATCATCACTCAATCAAAATGGCAATGAAAGAGTTAGTGGAACAAGAATGTGGAGGGTCTAACCCTCTCATGAAGTTGACTTCACACTTTACTCAAGACAGAGCCTTACAACAGGTTGGTACTTGGCATATGATATTGTTAAAGCTAGTATTGATCTTTTAATCAGCATGTGTGTGTGTTTAAGCCAGAAAATCATATTTTATGTACAATATTAAAATTATGTTTAATATAATTATTTAATTTTGAATATATTTTTGATGCACTCTGTTCAGAGGATTTTAATATATGATTAAAAAAATTTAAAAATAAAGATCAATGAAATTACGGAGTTACTCCAATTAAACCCCATGTGGGAGCACGTGAGAAGTGGTCTACTGCAAAGTCACATTTTTATTTATTTCCCGTTGACTGCAAGCCACAGATCTAGGTTGTTCTTTGAGGCAGTGGATAAACTTAGAACATTTGAGATGCTACAACTAGCTACTGTACATTTACTGTATACTTCTGTGTGGGACATTACCTTTGAGTAACCTTGTATAATGATATAAGACTAGTGAGCTACTTGAATAGTGTAAGAATAAGATACTTTTTTTACTTTTTAATCCAGCAACTTCTACATTAAATTAATTTGCAATAACCAGATCATTATAACTTGATCTTTTGTATTTGGAAATGTGATTTCTATTGTTTGTATATGTGGTTTCTCAACAGTGTTTCAAAGTAAGCCTTCTGTTATCTATGCTGTTTGATTGTCTTGTGGGGAAAACTGTTGAAATTGTAAAATATTGGACTTCTTATAGTTAATCAGTTTGAATTACTGTGATAGGCTTGGGTGTTATTGTAAACCCGTATACTTAAAGCTTATTTTGCTTGACTTTTTTTCACCAAACAGTGTAGTTATTATGTATTAACTCAACCTTTTGCTCAAACAAACGTTTGTGGTATCGGTTGGTACATTATGATGTTTTGTGTTTGTATATGCCTTATATTAGCAAACAGTGAACAAAAAAATTAATTAAAAAAATGAAGTTAAATATATCAAGTTTGTAACCTGATGTCAAATATTTGTTTTTGTAAAATGTTAGTAGATAATCAGTTTAACAAAAACTGTTATTGTTTTGTTCACTTCATCATATTTTAGTGCACATGAATATTTGAGGTGTTTCTTCATTGAAATACCGTAGCATTTCTTGTACTTAAATATGATATTTTTTTCAAAGAAGGCTAATACGAGAGAGTACTTTAGAACTACACATACATTTGTTAGCTGCTCACCAGTCAGCCTGTTTCTTATAAGTTGTTAAGAAGCACAGACTAGTACTGTCAGGATATGGGTAACATTTATTTTGATTGAAATGTGTATATCCAGAGCTTGAATTAAATATTTTTAAGTGGGGGTCCAAATTTAATATTTTGTTTTCAAGTCTATATTTAAAAGAGCTGAGAAGAAACCCAATTCCCTCCCCCTAATTGGAAAATAATGCAACAGCTGGGGGGTTTGACTCTCTGTTAATTCAAGCTCAATGTGTAACCTTTAATTTGACCTCTGGATATGATACAATTGAGAGTGTTCTACTGTTATACAAAGGTAATTATACTGCTCAAGTGTGTTGAAAATTTATTTAATTTACAATAAAATATTTATGCACTTGTCAACACCGTAGAGTTATTGATCTAATTCAATATCTCAATTGAAAATGGAGTATTTGCAGAGAATTTGGGTGTAGTATCAAAGAGTTTGGTAGTTTTCACTTTGAAACTTTCTGTAGAAGTATAGCCTAACTGATTTAAATAAATAATTATACGTGTTGCACTAACTAAAACAAAGGATAATTTGACACCTTTTCTGTGTATAATTGAAGTCATTTTTAAACTTTTAGGAAGGTATCCAAAACAACATTTTTGGGCAACAGCATGCACCATTTGTGAGTATATTAATCATTTACAATAACATTACAACTGATAACATCTAGTAAGTTTATTCAGTTGTAACTTGATAACACGCAAGTTTATTCAGTTGTATCTTGATAACACGTAAGTTTATTCAGTTGTATCTTGATAACACGTAAGTTTATTCAGTTGTATCTTGATAACACGTAAGTTTATTCAGTTGTATCTTGATAACATGTAAGTTTATTCAGTTGTATCTTGATAACACGTAAGTTTATTCAGTTGTATCTTGATAACACGCAGGTTTATTCAGTTGTATCTTGATAACACGCAGGTTTATTCAGTTGTATCTTGATAACACGCAGGTTTATTCAGTTGTATCTTGATAACACGAAGTTTATTCAGTTGTATCTTGATAACACGTAAGTTTATTCAGTTGTATCTTGATAACACGCAAGTTTATTCAGTTGTATCTTGATAACACGTAAGTTTATTCAGTTGTATCTTGATAACACGTAAGTTTATTCAGTTGTATCTTGATAACACGTAAGTATTATGAAAAGACAAAAAAATTTAAAATAATAAATGTTGGCTCATTTATCAAACAGGAAGTACAAAGCTTCTCAGGAAAATAAATGTACAGTCTGTAACAAATATGCTTCAAATATTTTTTCTTGTTTAAGAATGGTATCGAGTGTTTGTGAAAATTTGAGTAAATCATTTTTTTACTTTGGTTAATTATTTATTGTTATTATTATTTTAAGAAAGTGATATTTAAATATTTTATTTTATTAGCTATGTATTTATTAAGCTATTCTAGAACATTTTGAGTTTTTTCTAAATATATTAATGATGTGTTACATATATAATTTTTCTTCATTGTATAGTTATGGACACTTCTTATTGTTTCCGGTACTAAAGAAACCGCAGAAGTTTTAATCTTATCAACATTTTTAGATAGCGCATGTTCTTAGTTTTAATTTTTGTCGTTTTAATATTTCAGTTGGAAAAACCACTTTCTGGTATCACCAAGGAAGAGGTGAGAGAAATCTTTTATTTGTTGATTTTAAAAACATATAAATATTTAATTAGGGCATTTTAAGCTCTAGAAATATGACTTAAAAAGACTTTTAAATATTTTCACAAACATCCTTTAAAAATGTTAAAATTACACACACACTACTTTCTTAAAAACAAGCTAAATTTCATAATGTTTATATAAAATCTACTGGTGCAGTAACTGTATTTGGGTCAAAATATGTTTTAAGTAGGACCCGGCATGGCCGAGTGGTCAGGGGGGCTTGACTCGCAATTTACTGGTTGCGGATTCGAATCCCTGTCCCACTAAACATGCTCATCCTTTCACTTCTTGGGGGTGTTTTATAATGATGGTCAATCCCACTATTCATTGGTAAAAGAGTAGCCCAAGAG